TTGAAAATGTCACAATTAAACAGAGGCATCTATCGGAAGTAGTATATACGGCCGGAGCGCCCAAGTTCATTTTTGATATGGTCTCAAAAGTGTTGATTGGAAAATTGGAAGCCACCCTTGTTAATTTTGCAGCTTGTCCTTTACTACAGAGTATGAAAAAGTACGACCAATAGCTTTGATGGCTTATCTTTCTGCCTGTTGATTTTTCTTAGGAATTAATTACATTATGAAGAAAAAAGTGACTCAATAATTGATTTAGCAAGTACATGCATATTACCCTTGGTGTGAAAGAATAGGGACTAATACCCTTGAATTGGAAATTTTCAAATAAAATTTACAAAGATAGTTATTTTATTTATTATTAATTAATTTTAAGTTTAGTATAAAATATATATTAAAACTTGTATACACAATCTTTATATAATATCAAAATTTAGGTTTCAGATTAAAAATTTTATTATTAACTCACTTGACAAAATTCAAAATACCAAACTTGTATTTAAAAAGAAATATATTAAATTACATGACAAAACCTATAGATATACACGTAAGATAGCATGTTGAGTGAAAAAATTTCATATATCAAGTTTATAAGGGTTACTTTACTTATTTTTAATTGATTTTATCTTAAATATAAGTTTTGTGTTGAAATTCACATGTATAATTTTTACAAATAATTTAGATAATGATGTTAAATTTGTTACCATTGATGAATATCAAGTGGGACCAATTGCAGGGTGTTGAGGTCCCGTGACTAACTTAGGGCCCCTCATGCAACGCGACATATATGATTCATCATCCCGAGAAAGGAATACGCATCCACAGACACGGTCTAGTCTATATATTTATTTAGGATTAATCTGGAGTTGGCTGGAACTCTCTAGGGTAAGGCATGGCTACACGAACTCACTTCGTACTCCTGCTTATCGTTGTTGTCATTGCTACATCTGTTCAAGTCCATGGGACACTCTCCCCTACTTACTACTCATCTACATGCCCCAAAGCATTGTCTATTGTTCGGGCAGGCGTGGAAGCTGCTATCAAAAAGGAGGCGAGAATGGGGGCGTCCTTGCTTAGGCTGCACTTCCATGACTGTTTTGTTAATGTGAGTCATTTTAACTTCCATCAATTCTCTCATGCGTTATAAGTAAAAATATATTGGATGAATCACATATATATGCACAATGGTCACAGGGTTGTGATGGGTCCATTCTGTTGGATGATAATGCTACTTTCACAGGGGAGAAAACCGCAGCACCTAACAACAACTCTGTTAGAGGATTCAATGTGGTTGATGACATTAAAGCTCAACTGGAGAAAGCATGCCCTGGAGTGGTGTCTTGTGCAGATATTCTTGCTATTGCTGCCAGGGACTCTGTTGTTATTGTCAGCACCCACCAACCACCACTCCACCACTAGTTAATTTTACTAGCAAGATTGGTTTAATTACCTTCAAAGTTGAAGTAAATTTTTCACATTTGCAGCTAGGTGGCCCTTTTTGGAAAGTGAAGCTAGGAAGAAGAGATTCTTTGACTGCTAGCAGAGCAGCTGCTAACACCTCACTTCCTGGACCAAATTTCAATATAAGTTCTCTCATTTCCAGCTTTTCTGTTCAAGGACTCTCCTTGAAAGATTTGGTGGCACTTTCGGGTAACTTTATTTTATTTAGAAATACTGATTGATATTAGTCCTTTTCTTATATATATATATACATATAATCCTATATAGAATTAATCTTGTATTATATTAATTGTAGGATCACATACCATAGGGTTGGCTAGGTGCACAGTATTCCGAGCACGAATCTATAATGACGCCAACATAGATGCCTCATTTGCCCAGTCACTGCAGAAAAAGTGTCCCAAAAGTGGAAATGATGATGTCACTAAACCCCTTGATTTCCAAACTCCGACCTGTTTCGATAAATTATACTATGATAACCTGTTGAAAAAGAAGGGTCTTCTTCATTCTGACCAAGAACTCTTTAATGGCAGCTGCACCTCTGCTGAATCTCTAGTTAAAAAGTATGCTCAAGACGTTTCTGCATTCTTCAAAGACTTTGCTAAGGGTATGGTCAAGATGGGGAACATCAAACCTCTCACAGGAACTGCCGGAGAGATAAGAATCAACTGCCGAAAAGCAAACTGAGGGAGGGCTTTCTTCATCAGTCTATTCTAATAATTAATGGTTAGAAACCAATTAAATGCCTAGTATGTAAGATGAATATTCATTGCTAAAGAAGGAATAATTAATAATTATTGTGTTGTGGGTAAAGTAGCAGGCTTAACAGTCCAGTCACTACTCACATCAGTTCCTTTTATCGGTACGTAACATCTATAAGTAAAATTAAAGGTTCCATGGAATCTGAGGGCCGAATCTTGAGGCTTTAATATTTATTGGCCTCCTAAGTTAATTTTGCTGCCCGTCATACAATTTTTTCTGGTTCAATATCATTAAATTATTTGAGTTTATTAATTTTACTAGTCTAAACTCTAAATTGTAAAATATAAATTTTTAAATATAAAGAGAGTTTTTAATATTAAAAAAAAATTTTCATTCAAAAATTAATATTTTATAATTGAAAATAATTTAAATTATAAAATAATTTTTTAAATTATAAAATAATTTTTTAAATTATTTATCATTCACAGGAGAAATTACATTACTTCGAATTTGATGAAAGAGAGAGGAAGCACAAAAGAAGGGGCAACTTTGGGTATGGCCCATGATCGTGGGCTTCCAATATGATTCTGTGCTCTGGTTTTGGTTAGTCTGCTCTGGGTGTACTTGTCTTGCTCAGATGATAGATCAGGTCTAGCCCCAATATTCTGGTCTTAATTACCAATGGGTTTGGGTTTACTTTTAACCAGGTATGGGCAGAGCAACTTTGAGTTTACTTTTATCCAGATCTGAGCCTTAGCAATGCCAATGACTAATGAGGCCTCTCGTAGAAAGTATTTTAGGTAGGATTAGTGGTTGGGGAATAATAAAGAAGCGTAGGACAGAATTTGTGATCCCGTACTCCAATAATTGAAAATTGAAAGTGAAGGTTTCCAACTGCATCTACTCGACCCATCATCTTTATGATATATATATAATTTAATATTATATATATATTTTTATACCAACTTCTTAATATTTAAAAATTACATTAAATCTCAATTAACTTAGAATTGAATCGTATCGAATCTCATAAAAAAAAATTTCTATCAGTATTTATTTCTCCGTTCACAAGACTCAAACTTAAGATTTTAAGAATTCCTTTAATTCAAATCAACAAATCATCAGTGTATATATATATATATATATATAAGCGTGAATTTTATCCAAAGCAATCAAAACATGGTAAGAAAATGATTGGTCCGACTTTGCTTCATCCAAGCATCCAATAATTGTGTAAACACAACATGTCAATAATAATCATTTATATGTATATACCACCTCAATTTGTTTTTAGTTATTACACTTTCTATATGGCATAATAAAAAAATTAATAAAAAAATTAATAAAAAAAAAACTATCATTAGCCTTTAAAATTTTATTTTTGTCCATTCTTCTTGGAAAAAATTATTAAAAAGTTGAATAAGAGTAAAATTAAAATAAAATATTAATACCTCCATAAAAAAAATGTCACAATTTTTTTAAAGAAAAATAGAATTTCATTTATATGTTAAAATTATAAGGGTTACAAGGAACCATAATAGGTGTTACACTATCACTACATAAATATTATAGTTACCTACATGAATATTATAGCTAGGTTCAAACTTAAAATTTAGTAATTAAATCATATTTTAATATAATCATATTTGGACATAATTCCATTCACATAAAAGATAAATTGGTTACAGCAAAAAATTTAGTTAGGAATCTCATTTTCAATCATACCTTCAATAGTTAAAGCAAGTATAACAACTTAATTGAGTTCAATAATTATCGTGTGCAAGTTACCATCCTCCTCTTGTGACCATTGCAAATTTAGATAAAAATTATTAAGAAAACTAAAGTCGAATAACTAAAAAGAGAGAAAAACCTTAC